GAAGGAACAAAATAATCAAATTGTGAGTAACATAAATATGGTGAGTCAGGTTTATTTGAATGTGGAAGCAGAAAACTCTGTTCTCAGAGCACAAATGGCAGAGTTGAGTAACAGGCTACAGTCTTTAAATGAGATCATAAACTGCATCAACTCAGCAAACTCAACAATTGATGAAACAGAGATTAATTGTGAAGATGATTTCTTGAATCCTTGGAATTTGCTACATGTGAATCAGCCAATTATGGCTTCTGCTGATGCCTTCATGTACTGATTTAGTATCACTTTGGTCATTGAAAAGTCGATTTTTTTAAAAAAAAGACAATGTTGTTTTTGGGATTCTTGGATTGGCTCTAGATGAAGGTGTTTGGTTGGGTTCACTAATAAATAATTGGATTTGATAAAATAGTTGATGGCGCCATATTTCTGATGAATATAATATTTGGATATATTGTATTATTTTTTTATATTTATAATTTGAATAAGTCTATAATGTTAAAAAAAGAAATGCAAAGTTAAAAAAAAAAAAATTATTAGATTAAAAAAGTAATAAAATACATAACACAATCATTGAAATTTTATAAATGAGATTCACAATGGTAAAGTATACCAGTTCTTACTTATACTTCTTCTTCTCAGAAATAAAGAGATTTTTTTAAAAAAACTCTTCAATCGTATAGTAAAATATTTTGAAAGCCATTTGTAAAAGGGAAAGACATGAGTGAAAGCAATAACAACAATGAAATAATGAAAAATTTAGGTCTACATGCAAAAGAAAAAAAAATAACAAAATAAAATAATAAGATAATCAAAATACAAAACAAAAAATAATGAACAAAATCGAGAAATAAAATTCAATGATATTATAAAATAAAATTTCACTGACAATTTAACAAATATGTATTGAAGTAACAGTACATAGGTAGCCACCATTCCAATATTACTAGATTAATCGTTAAGTTTAATCTTTGGTAGAGATTAATTATGAAGTGGCTAGTCTCTCTTGTTAGTTTATTAAAGATAATTAGATCGTTGGCTTGTGCGCAACACACTTCTATTCTCTTTGTATTAAGTTAATCTCTCTTTTTATTTTTCGTTTAATTACTTTTAGTGAGGAAATAGTGAAAGGACCATGAGAACCAAACACAAATTCTCAAGTGCGATAACTTTTAATTTTTTCTTTCAACTTTTCGGCTTGTAGAGGATTAGCAATATTTTTATCCTTTAATTATATTTTCTAGTGGGTGCTTTATGATCAATTTTAGTTCCACTTTATGGCAAAGTAGTGACATAAGTTTATTTAACATATAATATAATCACTTGTTAATTTTTGCTCAACCGATCTTTAGACTTTGATAAATGGTTATTGAAGAATTTTCTGGTGGAGGTTTGTTATCATTTATCTAATCTAAACTAAAGGTTAGGCCGGACGTGCTGGAAATTAAAATATCTGTAAATGAAAATATATATCAGGCTTGAATTATTGGGGAAGAAAAATACAATATATGAATATGATTAAGATAATACAACAAACTAAACCTAACTATGCCTAATAATTGTCTAGAAAATTACTTAAATCTGCGTCACTATAGCATAATCATATTTTCTATTTTTTCTAGTTTTGGCGCTTTCTCTATGATTGGATAAACGCATTGTGTTCAAACAATTTACAAATTCTGGATCAGATTATTAAAACTTAAACGGATGGCATGCTGTTTGCATACTTAATTTCCTTCATATTGAATTGAAATATGAAAAGAAACCAAATTGTTCCTCATTTGTAGATTTATACGATAAGTGTTTAATATAATACTATAGCCTAATTAAAAGGGTAGCCCCACATCTAAGCACTTCAAATATATTTATTTTAAATATTTTTTAATAAAATATTTTTTTTAAATTTAAAATAAATGGCTATTGGAAACAGGCGTTCAAGAAGGTATGGTCTACTTTAATAGTTGTATTTTTAATTAGAGATATGTCTAATTTTTATTATAAATACATGTATTACGCCTTCAAAAGTAATTACAATAAGATTTTCCTAATTATTTACTTTTCTGCCTCACCCTTAATTATTTGCACTGTAATCCATAGCAGATAGGTTCAGAACTCTAATTTCGTGTATTTTTGTAAATATTCAAGGAATATAGTGATTTCTTTCTATTCGGAGATAATGTGTAAATACCTTTCAATCTATACTCAAAATCTTAGCGATATACTAATATTATACTAAGGTTTTATAAAATAAGTTCAGGATGATAATAAAATCTTAGTATAGTATAAGTGTATCGCTGAAATTTCGGACATAAATTGAATGACTACTCATGCATTTTCCCTTTCTATTTATATAAAACTTTAACCAACAAAGTTGCTTTGTATCGATTTTCTCATATTACAACACTTCACTAGAGCGGTGTTTTCTTTATGATTGGGATAACATAATTTTGTTCAACTACGAAGTTTACATTAAAAAAGGAATTTCCATAATTAAGTTTATTTACTATGGAGAAAAGAAACTTGTTATAATTAGCATTTGATTAATTTGCAAGTAGACTCTTCGTATCAACAAATCATTAATAGTTGATTACCTTCCCAGAATTAATTAGTAGCTCACACAAATTTCCATGTGATTGTTACGCATATGTAAGCAATCACGAGTACCTTCTTTAATTTTATTTTAAACTTTAAACAAACAAATAAACACTTAAATAAATTAGAATAGTCGTTTTTTGCGGAATAATACTGACAAAAGAAACAAGGCATATGGTAGTCCACTAGAATTTTCTCAAGAGTATAATTAAGTAATTGTACATGTCAAGTTATTTTTTCCATTTCTTTATTCTTAATCTGATTGTCTTACACCCCTCAGAGTATAATTAGTGTTTCCTAATCAAAATTAACTAAAGATCCATATCTGTCGGTGACGTGAGCTAGTCTTTTTCAGAATAAAGTAAAAGAGCACCCATTTCAAAATTCAGACCAATTAAGGGCCTTTCATTTAATTAACTAATTAATTATTTTTTATTAGTAAGAGAAGAGAAGTGGCATGTAACGTGTACAGCCTGTCGATGGAGACTAATGGCCTCCCAAATCAAAAGTCATAACCATCCAGTTAGTCCGTACTTAAGTGATTCTGGTACTTTGATTTGGTTTAATTAATTAGGTATTGCTCTCACTTTTTTTTTATTTTAAAAAAAAACATTTATAAGCATGTGATTAGCAGTACAAGCATATGATGGAGCATAATCTGCATAAAAATTAGGGTAAACTACTTTATTCCTTTAAAATCTGATTACATGTTAGGTTAGGCCATGACATTTAACAGCATAAGTTAAGAAACACTAGTATTAGATCATGTGGACAGCCATATATAACGCATGCTTTTACTAGACATAAATGTTAAAAAGAGCCTGTTTGAGATATTCGAAAATCAGTTTTAGTTGCTGGGCTTGATAAAATTGTTTGAACTGATAAAAATAAATCCTCTCCAAGACCAAAAAAAAATTATATTAACGAACAATGACAACGCTAGACGTTCTCTACACAACAGAAACTGTAAAACGAGAAATGCAAAAAAAATTGGGATCGCCTAAGATCATATATTATGATATATAGTAAGTAACATGTTTCATCAAAATCCCGCAATCATCTTTCACAAAAAGTCCAATCCATCATTTCGAAAAAAACAGAAAAGAAATTGGTGTTGAAAGTCCATTGGGCTGGAGACCCATTTCCCTACGTGATTCTTGAGTAAATGTTGGGTCATCCAATAAGAAATCTTGTCAAGCCCAAAATGGCTCAAATAAAGAATTGAGATTATTTAATTTATGAAGAGTATAAGTGAGTATATAATATTAGAAAGTCTGTAGATTTATGACTTGGAGAAAATAATAATAATAATATTTTGTTACAACAAGAATTGATTTAATTTTGTATATTGATAGTTTATATTTTTGCCATAAATTTTCCCTGTGATGTACATGGATTTAATTCCGACTCTCCTCTTCCTTTCACTAATAACTCATAAACAAAACAAATGATACGAAAGAAGATAGAAGTTATATATTTAAATTTTTTATTAAACTAAGTCATTATATAAAGTAATTTATCAAAATAATACGGCTTTTAAAATTTTTACAAAATTAGTATAAACGTATTTCACTGTAGCGTTTTATGGTATATTTCATTTTTTAAAAGCTGACGGCGTTAGGTTGATATACATCAGTGTAATTAACATTTTACTCCTAAAACGTTACTATGAATAACGTTTTAGGATTAAAACGTTACTTACAGTAACAGTAATAAAACGTTATTACGAGTAACGTATTTCAACTAATATCGTCGGCTTTTAAAAATGAAATATACCCTAAAACATTACTGTGAAATACGTTTATACTAATTTTGTAAAACTTTAAAAAACATATTATTAATAAATTACTTTATATATTGATCTAGTTTGGTCAAAACGTCCGTATATTAGTTAGAGTTATGACAACATTCATGGGGCGGGCTTCCAAATTTTATGAAGCAAAAAACTGTACGTTCTTATCGTAAAAGAAAATGAAGGTTATCACTGGAATTATGAGTCATAGCTTTGCTGCCTCTCTTACGATGCCACGTTTACGGCTATTATAGACTGCAAAGAGTCTTGAAATGTCGGTACGTTCAAAAATGAATCTTTGCAAGTGTGTACTATTAATTTTACTTTTTTTTAATCTTTATGACCAGTCAATATTACACTTGGCTTCCAGTCTATGCTCTTGAATGTCTCCTTTCGAGTTTCTGTGTTTGGGTTTTAGTTAAATATCTGTTTATTTATGCCGACACTCTTACACTTGTTTCCAACTTTCATTTGCCACGATCCCGCTAAAGGCTCCATCCATTACTCGCTTAACACCTGTTGTGCCTCTAATCAGCCTATCCTACTTTTACTTTCCCTATATAAATCCCTACTCCCTGAACCTCCATACTTGAATGTTATCTGCAGTAGCCAAAAACAAAGTAAAAAATTAAACAGTGTTTTTTAAAAAAAAAGAATTTTTGATCAAAGATGGCACAATACGGCAATCAAGACCAAATGCGCAAGACTGATGAATATGGAAACCATGTCCAAGAAACAGGAGTCTATCAAGGTACCGGTACTGGCGGTATGATGGGGGGCACGGGTACTGGCGGTATGATGGGGGGCACTGGTGGAGAATATGGAACTCAAGGCATGGGTACTGGTACTCATCACCATGAGGGGCAACAGCAGCTTCGTCGATCCGACAGCTCTAGCTCGGTACGTTTCGTTAATCCAGTATACGATTGAATACAATTGTGTGAGCACACTTTTATCATTTGATTATATTTTCAACAATTTTCAACACCCATCAGATCATATTATAACATTAACATATCAACCGTAAACTTGGAGTATATGAAATCAAACATTTCATGATATTCTAATGGCATGGCACGTTACTAACGTGATATTTTTTTAAATTAAATTATGATCAGTCGGAGGATGATGGAGAAGGTGGGAGGAGAAAGAAGGGTTTGAAGGAGAAGATAATGGAGAAGATGCCTGGACAACATGAAGGTGAGTATGGACAAACAACAGGTGAAGAGAAGAAAGGAATGATGGACAAAATCAAGGACAAGATCCCTGGGATGCATTGAACACCTTTGTTTTCATCTCCATCTTATCTTATGAATAAATAAGGTAGTGCTTGATTCTATTTCATGCACTAATTAGTAGTAATCGTTATGCCAGTAATTATCTAATTACGTACACTCTTGTGTTTAAAGTCGTGTAAAGTGTGCTGACGCTATATACATGTGTGTGTATATTGGCGGCCATGCCCTGCCCCTTCTGTATTTTTAAAACAAGAATATTGCTTCCATGCTTGGAAAGCAATGATCATGTTGATGTGTGTTATGGTGTCCCGTGTTTAATGATGTTTTGGAAATAATATAACTTGTGCTATATTTCTTTTGAGTTCAAGTTTCATCCTTTAATTTATTAAAACGAGTTGAAGATATACTAGACAAATAAATGATTTCTTTATCATCACATACAAATCAAATAAGTACCATTTTGCTACCATCAGCAAATAATTTCTGAAACCTGACTCTCTGTATATTTAGACCAACTTGGGCTACGAATCCTCATTGTTGAATTAAGGTCTGCAGTTGGATTAAATCGAATGTTTAGATTGAATTTTTATTTGGATTAGCTTTTTTATTTTTATCTTTTTTGATTGTTCGGATAATAAGTTACTTTGTTTGGTTTTTTGGTTTGATTTTGAATATCAAAAAATAAAATCAAAGTTAGACTTGATTACTTTTGTCCCTACTGTTTGCTTATTGTTTTTTTTATGATGATTACATGTTTGAACATCTATAATAGGTGTATAGATAAATATTGTGTTTTAAGTTTTACTTATAATTTATATTAGAAGATGTGTTTATGGGATTAAATATTATTCTCTCTAGTCCGATTTATATGATACTTTTTATGTTTTGAAATTTAAATATTTTAAGTTAGTCGAAAATTTGCTCATAAAATTTTTAATTTTTTTTAAATGAAATTTTGTATTTGTAAACTACGTAAAAGGTACTATGAGTCACAATAATTGATAATTTATAATGTTCAAAAGGTCTATAAAAATATTTACGGTCAAACGTAGATTTGTTTAACTTTTGAAATTCGAAAGGTAACATACAAAATGGAACAAATGGAGAATTATAATAAAACCTCTATAAATTAATATAGATGGAATTATGAAATTTTATTATTTTATAAAGATGTTATTTAATCAATAAATTAATATTTATTAATTTAAAGAATGGTTTGAAATTTAGCGAAGGTTAATTTTGAATATAAAATTATTGTATCTTACTAACCTTATGATGTTGAATAATAAGAGCTTTCAAAGTGTATTATTGTAATAAAGTTTATCATAGGATATTAGAGGATTATGATGCGGAACAAACTGATCCAATAAGGATTAATATTTTGATTGCTATTAGTTTGTAGTTCTTTCTTGGATAATAAATGTTCCAACAAGAGATGAAATAAAAATTATTTTCGATACTGTAAAATTGTTAGGGGAATGAACATCATTCATGAACTTGAGGACATGATATAAAATTATTTTCGATACTGTAAAATTGTTTGGGGAATAAACATCATTCATGAACTTGAGGACATGAAATAAAATTATTTTCGATACTGTAAAATTGTTCGGGAAATAAACATCATTCATGAACTCGAGGACATGAAATAAAATTATTTTCGATACTGTAAAATTGTTCGGGGAATAAACATCATTCATGAACTTGATGACATGATTAATGATCTCAATTACCACAATAAAATAGATGTCAATAACCTGTTAGATTATCCGGATGAAAAATATACAGGTTCAGAGGTCCAAAGCTTAAAAGATATTGTGAATATTATTTAGAGCAGTAATGTTTATGATAAAATTGAAGATAATACTATACCTTTAGAACTAATTAAGCGTAAGAAAACACTTATTGCATCTAAAATTCTTCACAATTTTATGGTGCAGTTCGAAAAGACAACATTGAAGCTCTTGGATACAGTAATAAAAGTTAGAGACGAGCTTTATCTGTACTTAAATTTTAAGAAAAAATTGAATACAAATAAAATTATATTTCACTAAATTGTCTTAATTATATTTGTATATTTAAGAATTATTAATTTATGATATTAATGGGATTATATATTTACAAAAAGTGATCTGAAAATATATTATCATATTATCTTATCGAAATTAATATTTTTCAGTTAGTATAATCGAGATCAAAAAAAAATATTATTTTAAAGAAATTATTAATTTATCCACTAACAAATTATAGAGGTTTATTGTACTTTAATTATATTATTAAATATTAACATAATCAAAATTAAACCAAAAAACATCAAACCAAATAGAGAAAATCAATTCAAATTAAATTTATTTCAAATTAAATTAAATTACACTTTTACAAAATCATAAATCAAAAATTCATATCCGCTAATGAAATCAAATGGAATGCACACCAGGCACCCCTATTATTGAACATTGTCCATGACCGTCTTACTTTCCCAATTTGTAACTTTTATTTTATTACTCATATTATTTTTTATTTAATTCGTATTTTCTCCGTTTTAAAAAAAAAATCTTTTAATCTATTTTAAAAATATTAATTTTTTTTATCACTTTTTGATTTTAACTTTTTAGGTGACAAGATAAATATGTAATTTTTTATATTTGACATAATTTCAAGTTAAGATCACAAAAGGTTTTTTTTAATTTTTTTTTTAACTTAACATCAAGTTAAATTAGGTTATTCCTTGTGAATTGAAGAAAGTATTAACTTTTAAAAATAATAAAGTTAAACTAGATTATTCGTTATGAATTGGAAAAAGTGTTTTAACTTTTAAAAATAATAAACAGAATGAAAATTCTAGTATATTGCTCTAAGAATATAACCAATTCAATATTTTGAAAAATGATAATAATAATAATAGGACAAATCATCTCTTATATTGTAAAATCAGAAAAATAAAATTAGACGTATATTTGAATACAGTGAACAATAAAAAAGTAGACAGAATATGTGCATATGCATCAAAAGGTGGAAGGATTTTTAACTCCTAATCCTTAAAAAGATGAACTTCAAGGGAGATAATTATTTTGGTGGTAAAAATACGGGGACAGCTATTTTTCAGTCCTATAATTTTAAAAAAATATTCATTGTCATTGAATTTCATACTTTAATATGTGAAATGTCAAATTAGGCCTCATCAGCTGAAGAATGGTGAAGGCAATTTTGTCATTGATAGATTTGGTCGTTTGGCCAAACTACAACAAAAGGGGATCAAAATATAGGAATTAGATGTTGATTTGACCTTTGGTATTATCCCGGGACCCAAAATTTCTGGAGTATTTCACTCCAGAGAACATTTCTACCTCCCCCGGAACTAGAACCTAGTGGACCTGAGCTTCTCATATCTGTAAACTAAAAATTCGTTTGAATTGGCTTAAAATCAATCAAATTTATTTTTTAGTCAGTGTTTAACTTGTGAATGTGTCTGATAAATATAAAAAATATCTTTAAAAAAAGTAAAAAAACGATTTAAAATAAGTTATACAGAATTTGACAAGGTAAAAAATGACTTAAAATAAGTTAGAAATCAAAAATAGATCTCCCCTATTTTTTATTTTAATTTAATTTTTTATTTTTAACAAAAGAAATTAAGACTTTTCTTTTTAAGTCAATCCAAACGGGCTCTAAAAATTGAAACTAACCGTTCTTAATAAGCTTCTTATTAAGTCGATAAACAAGCATATGTCACCCTATGATTATTAGTTAGCTTCCATCAACCTGTACATTGGCCTGTATGGCCTTTTCGAAAATTTAAATTCTTGAAAGTTAGACGTGATACCATAAGTTTTACTAATTCGTTGCGCCAACGATTTAATTTGCATGTTGAGCTTTTTATATAGGTATTATTTGCTAAAATCTATCTGGTAATTCGGGTCTTAATGATAGCAAATAAGATGCTCCACAGTCCACTGATCACGATCGGTGGCGAACACATGATTTTTCCCGCGGGATCTCTTATTAGGTGAATCTGGAGCAACTAACCACCAGGCCATTCATCCTTTTGGTATTATTACCTTTTATTTTTGTTTATATTATAATAAATTAAATCCACCCGACTGGGAAACATATAAGACCTGATTTTACACCGCAGTCCGATCGAGTATCCTTTATAACTTCGAAGTTATGTGCAGTCTCTTAGGCCTTAAGTTTCCAGCAGCAGAATTTGACCGAATCTAATCTCAACGCTGACAGAGGAAAAAACGTGTCAGTCTTTGATGCTGCCACATTGACGCCGACTGTTTAATTCACGTAACACATGTGATGCTCTGGTGCCATGCATGCACCTCCACTTCTTCCACACCCTTATCTTCAGTTTCTTTTTCCGTGCCTATATCTATCCCTTATTTCGCACTCAAATTTTATAACACTTCATCGAATACTCTCAACAAAAATTACGATTGTGTAGAAAAAAAATAAAATAATCATGGCACACTACGAGAACCAATATAGTGCAGGGCAGGCTCTGCAGACGGACGAATACGGCAACCCAGTCCGCCAAACTGACGAATATGGCAACCCAATCCAGCAGACTGGAGGGACCATGGGAGAATATGGAACCACCGGTACCGGCTATGGAACTCAGGCTGGACACACCACTGGCGTGCTTGGTGGCACCGGTACCGGCTATGGAACTCAGGCTGGACACACCAGTGGCGTACTTGGTGGGGAACAACGCCAGCATGGTACTCTTGGTGGCATGCTTCACCGTTCTGGCAGCTCTAGCTCCAGTAGCTCTGTATGTTAAATCTTTTGTTTCAACTGATGTCTTCTCTATCTGCATGTATTTTTTTATGTCGCTTCTCTTAATAATATTTAACGTGTGTGTTTTGATTTTGAAGTCTGAGGATGATGGACATGGCGGTAGAAGGAAGAAGAAAGGGATCAAGGACAAGGTGAAGGAGAAATTGCCAGGAGGTCACAGAGATGATCAAGCCCATTCAACTGCAACAACTACAACTACTGGTTATGGCATGGAAGGCACTCATGAGAAGAAGGGAATTATGGAGAAGATTAAGGAGAAGCTTCCAGGCCATCATGGCCCTGGACACCACTAGGAATTGAAGCCGTGGCTAAAAGAATAAATTATCCTTTTAAATATATACATATAAAATGTTTGGCTAATTACTTGTATTAGCAGTCGTTTCTAGTTTGTCCTTGCTGTGTGTTTTAAGCTTGGCCTGTCATGTGAATAATAAAGCCATGCTAGCCCTTGAAGTGCTAGTGGAAGTATAATCACACATGTAATAAGTCTTTTTTAAGTATGTCGTACCATGTACCTCATGAAAAATTCCAACACTGGGTTATAAATGTATTTTAGTTCATATGGCACCATTTGCTTTCTTGGGTGGGAATATGACTCGAAATAATCAGTGACCGTTGGATAATGTGGATTTTTTTTTTTGAAAACGTAAAAAAAAAATGGATGGATGGTTTTCGAAAGAGGGTCGATTTATTTTTAGCGAAATAGCGAACACCACTCTAGGCAGTTACAAACGTCTGTAACACTCGGCTCATTTTACACCCACGAAATTGAATAAGTATAGAAATACTTAAACAACAAAGTTAAACAGCAAGCAGACTTTATAGGAATTTGTTCCAATCTTTATTAATCTGTATACTAATACAAAGGAAGGCTTCACGAATTAGTCTAAGGCTAGAAACACTCTGTCTAAGCTTTAGACGAATTTTCACTCTTAATAAAAATTCTGCACATGACAGTTACATGCGGCAGTTACAAGTGATACCTGTTCAACATTTGTCACAGGTTCAAATTTTTCAACGGCTATATTTCTAACAAATAGAATCTAATTCAAATTACAGTCTTATCTTGCACGAAATACTAATATTCTTACACTTAGAATATTTCAGGCTACATTTCAATACTTAGAATATTTCAGCTAGCTTCCAACACTTTAAATATTTTAGTTGTCCTCCAACACTTAGTTTTATTTCAGCAAGTCGAGTGAACTGTCTTTGTTCTTGCTGTTGTCAAGTCTTCACAGCCTTGTCTTGTCAAGCTAACACGCTGCCTTGCCAATGCCCTTAGCCCGCACGTAAGTCTTGCATGTTCAAGCTGCCTTGCCAACACCCAAGCATCTTGAACTTGTGTTGCACTATTTTGTCATCATCCATGTCAAGATCAATGCCCAAGTCCTTGACATATCTGCATGTAGTTAGATCAAGTAGTTTGCGGGTCTAACAGTTTTTAACAATGACAGGATAGATACCGTAATGGGAACTCTCCATCTGTTGAAAGCTGGAAGAAAGGCGAGAAAAGGAAGGTTTGCCAATTACTAGCAAGGCGGGTAAGAAGGAGAGGTGAGGTGACTAGCTTGGTAAATAATGATCATCTCTCTATTTATTAAAATCCGTATGCAATTAATTGGGATTGAAACCAGAACTTCGTATAGTTATAACGACGCCCTTCTTAAAATAAAATTCAACTTCTGGTAAGTTAAAAGATTTTACAAGAGTGAAAATTGGACTTGCTAAAGATGGAAGTTATATACCAGCTCTATGCTCGGCCTTGTGGAAGTATGAAATTGCTTCAAAAAATTCTAGTTCATTAACCACATCGGAACGCCCCTGCCTCCTGTAACGAATGGGCTGGGGAGTTGGACAGAGTATCATGAAAAATTGACCGGACATATCACATCTTCAGATATATAATTTTGAAATAAGAACTTCAGTCTAATAGCTACCGGCGTCGAATCTTCTAAAACCACAGAGGTGCTACTTTGGAATTGCCTTTTTCAGTCTTTTGCTGCAACAAGCTTCCCGCTGAACTTTGTCAAACAAGTTTTAGCAAGCAAAATGCCAGTAATAATGTTCCAGGTCTTGCCCCATGTTTAGAACCCAAAGATGCCTTGAACTTTGCGTTGCACTTCCCTCACCCTGTAAGTGGCGGAGAATGGACCTTCACATTCACACATTCACACAGAACATTTATGTTAAAAAAACGACACCATAAAGATATAAGAAGTTGGAAATTGCAAGCGTGAGTGTAAGAAAGCAGATTTTCTGGAACAGGCGAATCATTACGTTGAGTCACTTTTACTATGAAAAAGGGAATGAGTATCCCGTTGTTGCTTAAAGCTTTGCAAGAATCCCTAAGGGCAATTAAAGATTGTACTAGGTGAGTGCAATTTCAATCACAAGTACGCAGTATGATAAATTACCTGTTATATAACTTGGCACCTGGAATTTACACAATTCTGGAACTCAGATTTTCCCCTGAATGAATTAATCATATCCTTCAGGCTTCGGTCGACTAAGAAGTCCAATTCCTCACAATTGTGTATTGTGGCACTGTTACCGAGCAATGTACATTTCCAAATGAAAAGGATTCTTCAAACTAACATACACTGGGATTTAAGAGATCTTAACGGTTCATCTATCAATTACCAGAAGTTACCACAAGAGCATACACCATTACGGAAATGGTGAAATCTCTTGTTATCCCTGACAATGATCTCCCTGCCAGTGATTTGAGATGCACCGCCCATGAAGGAGTGGCAATCTTCACAGATTCTTAGATTTTTCATGATCTTGATGGTAGACCCAGCAGAATCAGTGATGAGCAGCCCATATGCCAAAGCCAGCTTCTCACTATGTGTGAGAAGTATTCTCCTTTTATGTTCTTCATTCAGATCATAAGGTACAGAGCTTAAATTTGGCTCGTATCCATGTGACTTAAGCCGACCAATAAGATCCTCAAGTGCTTCCTTAATCTCTTTAGAATTTGGGTGGGTCATATCACCAGCATAGAATTCATGAATCACCCCCTCTTTGCCTTCAATCCAGCTGCGTGAAGGGTCCTTTCTCAGCAATTTTTGTTTTATTGATTTCCTTACCCCTAAAACATCTTCCCACCTTCCTGCTGAAGCATATGTATTGGCAAGCAAGACATAGTTACCAATGCTATCAGGTTCAAGCTCAAATAAATGGTTAGCAGCAACTTCTGCAATATCAGGATTACCATGAATCCGACAAGCTCCCAGCAGGGCACCCCAGACACCACTATTAGGCTCCATTGGCATAGCTTTGATAAGCTCACGAGCCTCTTCTAGTTGCCCAGCCCTGCCAAGGAGATCAATCATGCAAGCATAGTGTTCTACTGATGGTTCAACACTATAATGTTTCTCCATTGTATCAAACAGGTTTCGACCCCGCTCTACCAAACCTGCATGAGTACAAGCCATAAGAACACCAATGAATGTCACCTTATTAGGCTTTACCTCAGTTTTCACCATTTCTTCAAATAAATCTAGCGCAGCATTCGCACATCCATGCATTGCAAAACCCATAATCATCGAACTATATGAGAACACATTCTTTTCCTTCATCTTCTCGAAAACCTTGTATGCTTCCTCCACATTCCCACACTTGGAGTACATATCAATCAATGCAGACCCTACCATAACATGATTGGCAGGTCCAAAACCATATCCCTCTGCCATATCACGAACCCAATTTGCATACTTAGCAGCCCCTAACTGTGCACAAGCTGAAATAACCCCAACTAATGTCAACTCATCAGTCTCAACACCTTCAGACTGCATTCTATGGAAGAACTCCAATGCCTCCCTTGGTTTAGCATTCTGGGCAAAACCTGACACCATAGCCGTCCATGCAACCAAATCTTTCACAGGCAATCTCTCAAACATCTCAGCAGCTGCCGCCATATCTCCAGCCTTCGAATACGCAACAATTAACGAAGTCCACGAAATCACATCCCTCTCAGACATTTCATCGAACACCTTTCGACCATAATCCAACCAGCCACATTTAACATACATATCAATCAAAATATTATGAACAAACAAATCTTCACAGAATCCACCAAGCTTTATGCTCTGACAATGAATCTGCCTACCTAAATTCAACTCAAGCTCATCGCTAGAACCCTTGAGCAAAGCCGTGAAAGTAAAAGAAACAGGCGATATACTTTCCCTTCTCATAGCATTATACAAACTCACCGCCTCTTTCAGTGGTCCTTGAATTGAATAACCCCGAATTAACGCGGTCCATAGAAAAGGGTTGCGGTATTCCACTTGGTGAAACACAAGACGGGGATATGGGTCCATTGGGACATTTATTTTTGTGAGCAAACGGATTAGCTTTGCGAGAACATAGCAGCATTGGTCGAGACCTCTGCGGATAACGTGAGCATGTACTTGTTTGATCTGATTTAGGCTGCTACAGTTGTCAAGAAGTGAAACTAGATGAGATTCTAAGAGTTTTGTCTCTTGAAGCCGGGAAAATGGGACGAAGACTTCTGGATTTCCGAACTCGTAGCTTCTGGATGTTGGAATAGGGTTCCTTGATGCGATCAGCTTCCGAGCAAGTGAAACCATTACATGCAAAGCTAAATGAAACCAGAAGAGTTAACTTCTCTTAATTATCTCGGTTCCAATTGAATTTGGAAGATATTATTGAATTCATATTGAATCAAATTTTTTTATTGTGTCGGAGTTGCAGAACATTGTAGTATGAACTTTACTTTTTGATTGATTAGCTAATATAAAGTTGGCTCACGCCTGCATTTTTAACTCAGTTCCGCCCAAATAATTTTTAAATGGTCTAGCCTTTTACTAAATTTGCCACACTTTTACCTAGGTCATAGATGGTCGACCGTAATTACTTTGAGATGCATACAAAATACATCAACTCCAAGTGTGTTTTTGTGTGCGCTAATTACTGAGAAGAGATAATGTTAGCATTCTCGACCCAAATAAGGAACAGAATGATGCAAAGGCCATAAAATCATACTATAACCCCTCCAGTCTTTCTACTAACCTGCTCACAAAAAAAAAAATGCAAAATTATGATGAATGATTAGCAGCGTAAGTCCTTCAGACACCAGATTGACAACATCAAGGATGAAAAAGTCGTTTCTTTTTTACACTTGGAAAATATATAAGCAAGAGGACATTGAACTGTTCGGTTCTCCATCCTGTTGTTACTCATAGCTTGCAATTTCCACATCACACTACAAAATGCAGCTCCAGCTGAGAACGCCAATCACAATAAATTATCATGTCCTTTGATGTTCCATTGCTTTTTGCAACACGTCCTTTAGAACTCCTGCAATTCTTTCTTCCATGTGATGCTCCAGAAAAGTCTCTTTAACCTTCTCATACCCTTTTTTACCCATTGTAAGCCTCCTCTCAACGTGAGTGGCTAATCTAACAATGTTTTTTGCAAGAGGCATTATCCCTTCTTTCCCCACAGGATGTAGAAGACCAGTTGTTCCATTTGTTACAATTTCTTGGGTGCCACCAGCAGCAGTTCCCTGAAATGGAAAGGCAAGAAGATAAGAAGGCAAGCTTTTCCAATCCAATGAAATGTTTAAGATTATAAAAAAGAATTGCTGCCTGTAAAAGATCAACTATACAACAAGACAAGATGGAGGAAGAAAAATGGCAATTACCAACACAGGCAGCTGAAACGCCATCGCCTCAATAGTAATCCTACCAAAGCATTCACCTCGTGCCTACATTATTAAAATAGAAGGGAGGAAATATATGGAGTTAGTTACTACCGCATTAATAAAATTATCATACTCAAAAATTGACCTAGCATCACGACCATGCCTACAAACCTGAGAATTCTGAACAAGAACATCAACTGCAGCAAGATATGGGGCTACCGTCAGTGTCTTATTAACAAAATGAACATAATTCTGGATCTTCTTTGATATGACAAAGTTCCTAAGCTCTGTCTCAAATTTACTATGACTAGTCATGTCACTCCCTACAACAACAGCATGAATTGATGGTAATTGTAACTTCCGTTCTTGAATAATCTGCAAGCTCTCATAAAACGACCGTAAAAATAAGTCTTGACCCTTCCCACGAGTAACACCTGCAATATTGCAAGTCCAGGTCATAGTGTAGTTAAAAAAGGACAGTTCGTGAGATATGCTACCAAAATTCAAACCCAAGTTGCACAGTAGTTAAAAAAACTCTGTACAGCATGATGATGAATACAAGTGAATCATAGTGATCAGATAAATTTAGAAAATAATCAAGTAATCCACCCAAACAGGTATTCAAGAAAGCAACTTCTATTGCAAGTCCAGGTCAGTGTAATAAAAAAGGACCATTGCCAAGATACGCTACTAAAATTTCAAATCAAAGTTGCAAAGTAGTTTTAAAAAAATCTGTACAGCATGATGATGAATACGAGAGAATCATATTGATCAGATAAATTTAGAAGAAAAATCAAGAGCAATCCAGCCAAACAGGTATTCAAGAAAGCAACTTCTATCAGGATCTGAAGCATGATAGACTGTAATGCGTAATAGTATTACAGGAAAAGGCTTACTATTTATGAGGGAGAACAGTATATCTTCGTTTCGAACTCCAAGAGATTCACGAACATGTTCCCTCAAAATCCTTTTTGCCACACTATCTTCAGCAATTTCCATTAGCTCATTGCTGTTGCCAAGATGAACGACATGGGTTTTGGGCATTTTGATCCTACAAATATAAATAAAGCTAAGAAAGGTTTTACAACATCTACAAACAAGAATGAATAATGAAGAATAAGCACTGTAATATACAACATAGATCTAGACATAACTGGGAAGTTCATCCAGGAGCAATCTTTCTCGGTTCAACCAAAGCTTGAGCATTCAGACCGAAGTATTAGAAAGAACATTTACATTATATTCCCTTACCCAAGGAGAAATAAAGTCAGCCAAATATTTTTTTCAGGTTAAGACGTAAAGTAGAATAAATTCAACTAAACTTTATGCCTCAAAATAGATTGAGATGCCTTTTGAGCTTAAAATTACCTCAGCATTTAAAATTTTCAGAGAAACATACCAAATAATCACCATAATTAGGATCAGCGTACTTTCAGTACATGTTACTCTACAATTTCTGTTAGCATTTTCTACTTCCCATGATAATACAAGTACTCATCTATGTAACACACTACAAACCAAATTAGTTATCCTGGAGTGGTGCATTTTCACTTCCTGATTCCAATAGAATCTCATTAGGAAAGATATCAATAAAGACATCAATGACAGATCAGAAACCAAATGGTGAAAGTTTAACTAAAATGAGAAGCAATCTAATCTAAACATGCATAGTAGAAGATTTACTTTTATCAGTTGGATTTGTATGACGTACAAACTAACCTATCTCAGAGAGAGGGGTGGGAGAGGAAGAGGTAGAAAGAGAGCGAGAACAGGTTACAGACTGTTGATTCACCAACTTTTTATGTTGTGAGAATACAATTTCCATAACCAAAATGCTGCAGGTCAAATGTTGGATTGATATATGAAGGCCATTTAATTTTTTTTATATGACATAATTCAATGAGATTATTCGTCTCCTTCTTTGATAATACATCTACTAAACTTTGAATAGCTACAGCAACTCCCTATAGCCAGCTAAATCTTGCATACCCCATCTTGTCTCCTTTTTTAAAAAGGGAGGAGAAGTAGATCTATATGCAAGAATGTGCACACACAACTTATGTACTGCATAAATCTTATGTCATTCAATATATGTATTAACATCCCTTTTCCTTCCCCTATCATATCTTATGGTGACCGTCCAAGTCAACAGGAAAGAAAATAAAAAAAATAGATGCATGCCAATGGGAAATGAAGGCAGCTTGAGAGAGTGACCTGACATTCTAAGAAAAAACAATTTCATTTACTCAACTTAAATGATCAAAAAGAAAGAAAATATTTCATCTACTCCACTTATCATGTAAAGATTCATAGTAGTGTGTATTAACAGAACTTTCTGGCCTCACAACCAAATGATGTTCAAGGTACGGTTTATATCTATAGATGCATAACCTCAAAAGACCACTAGAAGTAGATCCCTTGCCAACTTAGTAGCAAGATTACAGAACTTCTAAACGTACCTTAGCCGTTCCTGTGTCCTATTCTTCCAGTATTCAGCTGTTACATGTGAATCAATCATTGCACCAGCAACATATGGAAGGTGTTTCACATAATCTAGACTGAAGTAATGACCGCGCATTTCATGGATCCACCACAAAACTTTGGGAAGGACTTCAGAAACGTGTTCCTTAAGAACAGCATCCAACCATTTCCCAGCAACGGCAGTGTTTAAAACAACCAAGTCAGCTTTCAAAGCAGTATCTATTGCCTCCTGGCCCTTCGCAGAGACAACCTGAAAGCACACACGCACTCATAAGCACAACCATTCAAATCTTTACTACTAAAGTATTAAGTTTCAGAATGTAGAGGTATAAATTCTGAGATGTCAGTGCAAATATGCCAGCTAATTAATTGCCTGAGGCTGCTGGACCAGAATGCCCACAGAAAATACTTCCATTATTAGAAAGATGAAATTGTCCAAATATAGAAAGGTATAAAAACTCAAACTGGAAGAAATATTGCTAAGTACAACCTGAACTCCTCGGTGTAACATTTTGTGCTCCAAACTGTATACAATGTTATTTGTTTCAGATGGCCTTTGATTTGTGATCCAACAGACTTCAGCACCAACACCTCTCAACAAAAATGCCAGCTCCATCAACAACAGAGGTCCACCTATGTGAAAAGAAAGAACAATCAGAGTGATTAAAAATATTTGTTCCCGTGATATGGCCCTTTCTTTTTCTTTTTCTTTTTCTTTTCTTTTTTCATAAATCAAAGTACACATTGACACTCAACCAAGATGGTGTCATAATTACAAAAACAAGATAGTAAACAGATAAAGTCCAAAGGTTGTTTCAATCCCATCAGGAAAGATGCCAAGCTTCTCTCCTGTCTATGGACACAATTACAAAGGAGGTAAAGATTCAAGCATTCTTTAAGCATCCAAAAGTCCTAAGTTCCTAATCAACACCATGTTGATGTTTCTTCCTTCCATCATAAATGTAAAATAGACAGAATGAACTCCTAATCAATGTATTTCAGACTCTTCGGAAGTTCTTCATTTCACTTCTCTCGTAATTATCTAAAATATGCAATAGGGCCCCATTCTCCATATACTCTTTCTCCTAGATCCCAAACCAGTTATTTTCCAGCACTGAACTCAGGATTCAAGTGCAAGGAAAACCACTCATAGGGTTTTTCTTTTAATAAGAAAAAAGACAAATTAAGGTAGAGGAGTTGGTCAATTTACTATGTAAAGTTTAGATTTGAATCTAGGAATTGAACCAATCTCTATTACAGCACCAAACTGAATGAATGAATTGTCTAATAAGATGGTGGATCCAACTAGACTAAAACAGCTAAATAGCACTCTTCAGTCCAGCTAAACTAGCAACGTTTCACTCTACAATGCTCCATAAGTAACATTGAGGAACCGAACTTAACATAGTAGACGATCTGTAAGTAAAAAAGACGAAATTTAGACAAAGAAAAATAAATTAAAAGGTACCAGAAAGGGAAAGCTCATGGGAGACAAGAAGCACAAGCCTAGACTTCATGAAACTGAGTGGGCTCTGAGTGACAGCTACCCCAATCGGTTTAGTTAATTCCGGAGAAGCGTTATACCGCTTCTGATTAGTCGCATATAAGCGGCAATCACAGGAGGACTCAAGGCTAGCTCTGACGATAAAAGCAATGGCAGTGGTAACTGAAACCATCACAAGGAGCG